CAAGGGGGGTGGAGGAGGTAATTACACACGGGAGATGGATTCACCACAGTCGATAAGAGAAACCTCAAAAGTATGGGAACGTCAGAAAGCCTTAATCCCACAATGACCGCTGATTATAGGCTGCAGTTTATCGTACTCTGTGAAACATGGATCTCTCAGTAGGCGTCTTCTGTATACACAGGGATGCAGGGTTGTTGTTCACAATAATGCCGCTTGATAACAGCAACAGAGTGCTACATACCCCTGCTGTATATTTACTATGAGCTTTTCTGAATAGGGGTTTCAGCAGGGTTTTGGCATGGACACTCCTGGCAGAAGGCCCGATAAAACAAACAAGCTCTAATGTTGCTCTTAGACCAAGTGGTTCCAATGCAGCTCAATAAAAATCATTTCTCGAGTGTTATTGAAAACAGTTTAGTTTCCAGAAACAAAATTAAATCGTTGGATTTTCTCCATCCTCCATTGTAACTAAATACACACACTCATTATACATCCCCCTCTCATTGTGGTCTAACTGCTGCCATCAGTGGTTTTTCTCTTGATTTCATTTTTGCATTACTTTAAGGGGATGTTGTTGTTGTTGTTGTTGTTGTGACAACAGGGGGACCTAAACAAGTTTGTGATTGTTCGAATGACAATATGATTACCAAGTATTTGTGTTGATTGGAAAGAATCATAATGTTAGTTTAGAAGAACTTCCAGGTAGACAACAGTACCACATAGTGGTGTGGAGCGTCATGGTAAAGTTGTTATGGCTTGTTGTGTTTGGGGTTGCAAGGTACCGATACGCAGCGGAAAAGGGTTGATTCATTCAAATTCTACATCCCTGGAGACCAAACTAAATAAATACATGAGTGTGCTAGACTCAAGTTAGTTAACTTTATTTTAAATGTTGTGGCTACTGAGTCAAAGCCAGTTTTACAATTTAACATTTGGGGTGCCGGAGAGCTGAGCGGATAAGTTGGGTGCCCCAGGTACCGAAGCTATAGTCTTTGTCACAGCAGCCCAGGGTTCAAATACGACCTCTGCACTTTTCACCACTCTCTCCTTCCCCACATTTTCTGTTTCTTTCTTCAGCTGTCCTGTCCAATGAAGGCACAAAATACCCCTAAAAATAACTAACATGTATTTTACAAAAGGGTCACAAAGATTGTTTAATCAGTTTCCGTAGTTTAGTTTAGTTTTCAGTGATAGTATAATTGATTTATGTAATGCTCGAGGGCTGAAGATTGTGTTCAGTTACTTTGACCGGCAGTAAGACGATCAAAGAGGCAAAGCAAAAAACAAAGCAATGTTAAAAAAAAAAAAACACAGCAAAAAAGCCAATGCATAACACTGCAGCTCGTAAATGTTCAGTTCCTACTAAAAAAAGACGACAATATTTGTGTTAGTTGTCTACCTGGAAGTGCTTGTAGTCGTAGTTGTTAGCGCAACTGACTCATGCTAAATTAAAATTAAAGATGAATAGTTATGCTAAAGATTATTATCAGACATGTTTTCCATATTAAGATACATACAATTTAAAAGTCTAACACAACCGATTAATTTGCTACGTATGAAAAATGTTGGTAACTCTTAAAATGAAGGTCTTAATATTCACCATGAACTAGTGGCTTATTAGCATGCTAATTAGTAGCATACTGGCTGTTTATCAGAAATTATTTAGCACCTTATTCTACATCACTATATTCTATAGCTGTGCCTAATCTAACCTTGTAAAGGACCATACTAAGCTAAATCAAATTAAGATCAAAATTCATATTAAAAAACAACAAGGCAAACTCTTAGTTAATGACCTATTAACTACAGATTGTGTTCATGTAGAGTACTAATAAGCACTTCCTGTAATGACTTTAAAGTCTACTAATTAACATGCTAATAAGCTACTAGTTAATGGTGAATATTGTGACCTGAATATTCTGCTGATACGGAATAGTTATCTAACACAGGTTTAATTAGCGAGTCTGTTTTGCTAAGAAACAAGAAATAAGTTAAAATCAAAGTTAAAAAAAAAATACAGGAGCTGTATTGTAAGTCATGTTAAGAAGCGTTTATATCTAAATTCATTACAAAGCCAATACATGTTTTATGGCACAGGATGCTTTTAGCAACTACACTATGAGTAAACAAACATGTTAGGGCAGTTTATTGATAACATTTGAAAGTTTTAAATGAAGGTGTAAATACATGTCTACGCCTTGTTTTCTTAAACTCAGTAAAACAGACTCAAAGTTCTGAATAACTGATGTGATTATTGCATTTTGACCGGCGTGTCATGAAACACGCCACGAGGCTGGTATGGTAAGTCTATAAACCCCTCACTAACATGTAATACGTATGAGCACATCCATAAAGATTCACAGTACTTTCTCACACACACACACACACGCACACGCACACGCACACGCACACGCACACGCACACGCACGCACGCACGCACGCACACACACACACACACACACGCACACGCACACGCACACACGCACACACGCACACACGCACGCACACGCACACACGCGCACACAACAATAAATTTCTCTTGGTAAATATATTCCAAAATATAATTCTATACACAAATATATATCTTTTATACTCTGTTCCCTCTGTAGAAAGCTTTATACATGTTTACATAAAGAAACACACGTTGAGATAATGTACATTCTGGGTTGTTGTTGTTATGGTAACGTCTCTCCTTGAATACAAAGGGCCCACAAACAGTCTAATAAAAGCACAAACAGGTAACAGGAAGGCACTTACAGCAAACATTCATATCATCTGAGACGGTGGGGGAGTCGTGGAGTCGCTGTTTAGAGAAAACCGAAAAGTATAGGTCCACTGTCATGAGCTTCAGCTACAGCTTATTTAACACTTAGTCATTGCCAAGAGTTCCACACAAGAGAAAACTAAAACACTGTACATTTAATAATGTCACAAATACTCTCCAAATGTGTGAAACAAACTGATTCATTTACCGTTAAACTTCAACTCAAGCCCAGCCTTTTATTTGCCTCAGTCTAAGAAGTGACCCTGCCTTTAAATGAGATGGGCCAATCATTACAGTCTAACAAAAATCATGCACAGCAAAGATTGGAAAGACAATTTTTATGATTTTAACCATGAAGAATATTTAACTTTGTCCAAAAAAATAGCATTTTAATAAACAAATGATATTACAAATCACTTATTTGATCGTGCTTTGTTTGACAGCAACCTGCTGCACACCTTGAACTATTATTCTGTCTCATTGGACCGATGAGTTCATCTTTATGTTTTTTTTTGTCTTTCTGCTTTTACTTTTGATCTGCAAACTAATCAACACTGAATGTATTGGGGCCTCTAATCGAGACCTGCCTCTATTTGTCCAAACTTTCAGCAGCAGCAGTTTTGTAAAGGGGACTAGGTCTTAAACTGGGATGGGCTTTTATTTGAAGTTTTACGGTATTAATGATCAATAATTCATTCAACAAATAAAAAGTCATCCTTGAAGTCATTCATAAAAAGAAAATCCAAACATACTGTGTTTCTCTTATTGGTCTATTTGCTTCTTTTGCTTCTTTCAGTTTTATCTTCAGAGGGGTATGTTTGTATCATCTCTGAATATTTTTTTTTTAAAGTATAAAAGTTGAACTATAAAAGGGATCAAAAATAAACTGATAATAAAAGCAAAACACTGTCAACTTTACTATAAACCAATGTTTTAAATCCATGACCTTTACATCAGTGGTTCTCAACTGGTCTAGCCTCGAGAGTCACTACTAACTCCCTTGTGAAATTGACAAAAATTTCGGATACTTTTCAAGCAATCAGTTTGAGTTAATGAAAAATTGTTCTGTTTGGACTTCAGACAGTACAAAACGTGACCAAAAAATATATAAATGGAACAAAACTAACAGGTTTAAAAGGCACTGCATAGGCTTTTTGACAGGTTTTTTTTCTTCCAGAAACACATTCTGGACCCACTGACAACAGCTCTGCGACCTACTTTTGGGTCCCGACCCACCAGTTAAAAACCACTGCTTTACATCATATCCAAAGTTTAAATCTGATACTCAAATTCTAATATGATCCCTTTTAAAATTCAGGTATTGAATTATTTAACTCGCACCTTCAACTTACAAAACCTGTCTTATAAGAATAACAAACAGAATTTGCACATACGTCGCCTCATATCATTTATGCATATTTACAATACTTACAAAATTATACAGGTTTAAAGTTCTGTCTTATTTATCTTGGGAAATGTGCTCATTAGATTCATTATCAAGAGTGAGATAAGATGATTCATGTTACTCTGATGTCTTTGTGTAAGGAACAGGAGCCAGGGGATGACTGGAAGCAGATTGAAACATCTAGCTTGACATAGTTTTAAGCTTCTCCTCAAAATAAATCTTTTTAATTTGACATGTTTATTTTACAAAATTGAACATGTTCATCTGAGCATCACACGTTTTGGAAGCTGTACTTTGTGTATGAGACGGAGCATGCTGGGAGGCTAGAAGCCAAGCCTAGCATAAAATAACAGCATGAGGAAACTAGCTAGCTTTGTGTATGCATGTCAACTTTATATGAACAGTGGCTGATTATGCCTTATTGTTTGTGGGGGAAGGTTTATGCTCAAACTTTATATTTTTTTATTGTAAACCTTTCTCTGAGCTAACTGTTTCCGTTTTGCTAAGCTACACATTTACCTTCTCTTTCAAATCTTTAAAAGGTCAAATATGATCCTCCTCCTCATCTATGAAGTTTCTTCCACTCTGATCCTGTATTTGATCATGTCTATAAACCCCTCTATTTCAGCCCTGCGAAGAACAGGCTGTTTCTGTGTCTGTAGCTTTAAATGTAAATGAGCTGTGTCTGACCACGCCCCCTCTCCGGAAGAGGATGCAGCTCAGGTTTTCTCGCTACATGCCCTATTGTTTAGGATGAGAAGGCAGACTCAGAGGGCAGAACAAACACCGAGCCATGGGAGTGTCACCCACCTGGGGGAGGGGTTACTGCCCTTTGTGATGTCATGAAAGGAAAATCTCCAAACAGCCTGTTTGAGCACACATTTTCTGAAAAGTGGAGCAGGCAAGAGATTGAAAGGATGGACTTTTCCCTGATTGGTGGGTTTGTAGACAGACTAGGGACACATATAAGTGCCAGAAAAACATAGTGAAGTTAATTTTACATAACATGTGACCCTTAATGAACACAAAGACATGAGAGCATAGATCACATTTCCCAAAATGTTCAAATATTCTGTGATGAAAAACTAGAAAAAGGGAACACAAAATGCCCTTGTGAAGTTGTGTAACATTATTTAGAGTCGCAGACCCCAATTCTATAGTCGACTGTAACTACTGAGAAGAAAGCAGACACTCAGTAATCATGAGGGAAGTATCAGCAAAGTGATTACATAATAATACATCTTTCATAAACATGTCTTTTCACATTAATCTGTCACATTATTTGGCGTTTACTCTTCTGTATACATTCACCAACTACGCTTTCTTCTAAAATCCGTCCTTTCTCCGTATGAGAAGATGACGACTTGTGTTTATACTGCACTTATGTCCGCATGTTTATAGTGGTTGCTCCGCTCCTTTGCCCCTTTAAGGTTATCATGTCATAAAGTTACGTGTTAGACCAGCCATCAACGTCTGACTTACTAATACTGACATCACTTCTGCCGGACTGCTTTCCTCACTGTCAAAGTACACCTGCTTGTTATAAACAGCCTCAATCAAACCATTTATGGTCAAAACAAAAGGCTGTGTCGGGAACTATCAAAACAGCATCTGGATTAGAAAGAAAAGCCTGATATTAACTTGTTTTTTGTCTCGTAGTTTTCCCGGGAAAGAATATTTTCCTGCACTTAGTTGAAGTGGCACAGACACAGTTTACACAAGGCCCCAAAGTGTTACCATCTGCTTTCTGCTACTTTCAGATCATGATTTTTGAACTTTATATCACATAATGGAAGGAGATCGACACACCGGTCCCTGTGATCGCAGACCCCCTCCGGTGCTGTGGTCAGGGTCTCGTCCTGGGCTACGCTGTGCTGCTGCTGGAGCAGGGTGTGCTTTGTGTGCTGCCGATACTGTGTGCCGCGCTGCTGTTCTCTGAGGCGGGCTGGGACTTCTGGACCTGCTGTGTTCCCGCAGCAGCTGCCTCGCCTAGACGCAGAGCAGGACAGAGAGGGAGATAGAAAGAAAAATGAGATAAATGAAAGGCAGACGCAGAAAGGAACTTGACAGATTGTTCGGCTTAAAGGAACAAATTGCTCTCCTCCTAAGACATAGAAACCTCAATTGTTCATCTGGTTTCCTACTGCTGACAAAAACCCAGTTTGAGCACACTTTTAAAAAACAAAAGTGTGTTCTGAGGCGTTTCCATCAGTCTGTCACTCCTGGACAGGACACTTTTGAACTTTCTTTTTAAATCCACTTCAAGGCTCTAATACATTTTAAAGGTTTAGTTGGGGGATTTTTATGCCTTAATTTAGAGATAGGACAGTGGGTAGAGTCAGAAACCGGGCTGAGAGAGAGTGGAGAATGAGATGCGGGAAAGGAGCCTTAGGTCGGATTCAAACCCGGGCCGTCCACTTGGAGTACTACAGCCTCTGTGCATGGGCCACGCTCACTAACCACCACGCTACTAGCAGACCCGGCTCTTTAAAATAAATAAAAAATCCTATGGATGATGATACTTAATGATGATTGATGATGATTTAAATGAGTTAGTTGTTAAGCTCGTGTGCATAACCACGTGTTCATATTCTTATTCAAAACAATCTAGAGTTCCTTTGGCAAGTCTGAAAGTCTGCAAATGCATGCTGGGGGAGCTCTGGACTACATCTGTCTTTACTTTTACCATCGTCAAGCTAGTACGCCACAGATTCACTGCTTTTTTAAAACTGAAATGACACCTCAGCAAGCCTGGAACAACCGCTATAACATCCTATCTGAAAGAAGACATTTGAACTAAGAAACCACAAGAAAAAAGAAGAAGAGGGTTTCTTTAGTTATCTGGACTCAATTAGCAAACAAACACGAGGCAGTATCTTCTGACTGAAGCTCAAACCATTCACTGGTTCTTTGTTCTGATGCATAAATAAGCATTTCAAGTTGTCAACTCTTTGGATCCAATGATTAACAAAATGAGGAGCAAATAGCAGTTCTTACATTTGTGTACAGAACATGTCTGAGACAAAGAACAGGTTTTGAAATAAAGCCAAGTCTGTGTTTCATTTGACTTTTTGGCATCATCACGACTGCAGTCTGTTCCTTGGTTGCTTCCTCGATATTTCCTGCTAGAGAAATGGAAAGCACCCAATGAAATCTTCCCCCTTACACAAAGATTTTTCTACTGACAGTTTGGTTTGGATTCAAACTTGAGTGAGTATGTATGAGTGTTTGCATATATGACAGGCACATGTGTCCACAGGCGTTGCTGCATCCCGCTCCCTCTTTGGGGCCCCTGAGTTCTGTTAATGTTTACCAGAGCAGAGCTGCCAGCAGTTTTTTCCCCCCACAGGACCGAGAGCTCTACGAAACAAAGGGACCTGGGAATTTATATTTCCTCAAACAGATGAGGCGAATCCAAGCCCAATATTATCTTTCTAGATCGCAGAGATAAAGGCAGCTTTTATGTCACAGAAACATGCTTTGTTTGAAAACTGTATGCAGTTGTTGAACCAGATGTCGAACTCAGGAACAATTTGCATTTGACTCTGAACGAGTAATCATAAGAAGCAGAAGCACTGTCACTATATCTCTGTGCATAGACATCATAAAAAAACACAATATTTTAACAGTGTCATAAAACAATCAGAGCTGTGACATTCTGAAACTCACTCATTTGAGTGAAAAAATAAATGTGTTTCAGTTAAATGTCTAACTACTATCCTTAGATAGACATCCTTAATAAAAGGAAACATTATGAAAAATAAGAACTCTGTGTGCAGTGTGGTGTGACAGTGTTATACACATTAAGTCATTAAATTAACCTTTTAATCGTCCATTATCAAAGCGACATTAAATAGCAGAAGTCTGGACCGATCGATCAAATATGAAGACATTTTCTGTCATCTTATGCTTAACTCAGTGTCAGCCTTCAAGATAATTACAGAATAACAGCCTTTGATTTACAAGAAAAATGCACAATAAAAAAAGAGATAAAAATATGCCATGTGGAAAAACTTGGTTCAATATTGTGAGGACAGTGTGACCTATCAAAGTTTCTACATCATGCTGCTGTTCAGCATTTTTTTACAAAAAACAAGAATTTAATCACTTTCCACTGTCCTGTTGCTCTAATAAAGACATAATACACTCCGTGAAAATTACATTGTAGTTATGTTGTTTTAAATATCTTCCTGGGGTTTCCTTAGCTCTGGTTTCTCATTTGTTCATCTGGATCGTTGCTGCAGACAGCTTGCTGCTGAGGATCCTGATTCTTACTGCTACGACTACAAACATCAGTGTTACGTTTATTATCATTATTATAAATCTTAATGTGAATCTTAGAGTTTTGAGAATGAACATTAACAGTCTTTCCTATTTTATTGTCTTTATAGTTGTTGATGTTGTTATTAGAATGATCTGTCTACTATCAAACTTTACTGAACATACTTTTACAGTTATTACTGACATTGTAGCCATCAATCTGTTCTATTTGTTGTTGTTGTTTGTTTATCCATTTCTTATCCCTCGCTTTCCTCAGGTCCATCACAGTCCCAGCAGACGGCTGTTCATCATGAGTCTGGTGCTGCTCAAGGTTTCTGCCTCCTAAAGGAAGTTTGTCCTCTACACTGTTAAATTGCTAAATGTTGCTGCGCTCATGGTGGATTAATGTTTGATCTTTATAAATAACATGACAGAGAGTACAGTCTAGACCTGCTCATTTTCAAAAATGTATTCAAATAAGATTTGTTCTGAATTGGCACTATAGAAATAGAGTTGGGGATTGATAATTATGTTCTACTATTTGTATGTATTTGGTCACAAAAACTGAATTTGGTATTGGAAAATAAATATGAATCTAATGTAATTGCCACCTTTACAATAGCTATCAAGGAATTTTACTCTAAACTAAAAATATCCACCTCATGGTGGCGCTGAAGAAAAGGTCTATCCAATCATTGATATCCAGTTTCTGTTATATTGAGCAAATATTTACGCTGGCCCATCCAGTAGTTCTTGGTTTATTTTGGTTCTAACCAAAGTGGAGGACGGACCAACTCACATTGCAAATGTAAGAGCCCTGCTCCCAGCAGTGCCAAAAAACGAAGCTGGTGTGTAGTTCTCTCTCTACCAAGAGAGCTTATCTTACACTTGTGCAGTGGGTGATCATTACTTTCTACCACTTTCTAATCTCGCTGCCCATGTTTGGATTTCAAAGCAGATAATGTGTGAAATTTCTCTCTGTGTAAGTGATTCAGCGTCTTGTCACAATTGGTTTGAATTTTTGGATTCGCATGTAATTTCACTAGTTGAGTCGAGGTGGAGAGCAGATCTGCTGGCAGTCATGACGGCAGCCCTGGCAGAACGACGTCCTATTATGTGTGCCAAGATAATGAGCAAAATGTCAAAGAATATATTGTGGGTTGTTTTTGAAGCATTGATACTTGTAATTGCCTTATAGGGAATCAAACTGCAATGGATATAAAACCTCACATTTAATGCCAGTGTGGGCATGTTAGTCAGAAAAAAAAAAGAGAAAAAAACATTTTTCCTCAAGAGAGCGGGAACATTGTCCTTAGACCCTGAGGGGACTGACCCGATGTGTTTTCATGTTTCATCACTCTGTAGACCGGTTTAAAATACACTCTGATGGGATATCTTTGGTTGTTGTTTTGGGGGATCTCCATTCTTGGGGTTTACGTGGAACTGAAATTATGACCATGTAAGGTCATCTCAGCAAAGATAGCTTCAAAACAAAGCCCTGTTTTAGCAACATCAACAGGCCGAAGCCGCTTTAGGTCAACTTTTTAGAGCCTTTCAACAACAATTACTCTACACCTGTTTTTTTCATCACTTTTGCCTTAATGTTTTTTTGAAAGACAACTACAATACATGTGTTTCTTGGTCATTCTAGGAAACTCATAACGCTTAAATAAAGTGGCTTTATAAGGCACGGCCAAACCCAATATTATGATAAAGATAAGGCCACTTAAATCTGACAGCTGATCTTTTCTGCTACTCGAGAATTTGTTCAGTGAATGATTATAAATGTGACTTTTCATCACTGACTTTTAGCAGTTCTGACAAGTGTCCATGTCTTCATTCATAAAGATCCACCACAATTTATCCTGGAGGTTAATTTACTATCTCAACCATTCAACACAGTCCAACCATGGGCTTCTTCCAAACTGTAAACTTAGGGTTAACTAAAACACTCACATTGTTGGATTTCCTGAAAGACTTATTAGCTCAAACTTCCTAACGCTGTTGATGAAAGACATCCATGGAGAACACATCAGCTGTGGGGCGGCAGGTCAATGGCATAGTGGATTACCAGTCAAGCAGTCAGGTCAACTAGAACAGGGCAGCTCTTTGCAACGGTGAACTCAGAGGGCTGCTGGGAGCTCGCTTCCTCTCAGGGTTCGGGTGGGTCAGCAGGCTGGGGATGGTGGGGAAGGTCTTGGCATCTAATGGGCAGATTGTGTGTCTTTTCCTGTGAGGGGCCGCTAAACCCAACAAGGGGATTTTCCAACTCGTCTCCAGCCATTGTACTGAGAATATTCGCTGACCACCCCGCGGCCCCAAAAAACATTCAAAGGCAGGAAAGAGAAGAGCTCTTGCTGCTGACCAACAGGATATATTTACAGTAGAGGAGTCAATATGTTATTGTGAACTGGCCTCTGTCAGCGGCAGGATGTTTGGCAATCTCAGCGGCACATTTTTGGCACAGAAACACTCGGAAATTCCTCTGCATCTTATCTTTTCATTAATGTAGAAGAAAGGTGAGCCGGGGCCGTAGAGCAGCAGGTAAAGGACCTACCTGTGTGCGAGTAGATAAACCACAGGGCTCCGGTCAACAGAGCTCCGATCACAAAGGCTGTGAAGGCGATCCCCACCACGATCGGCGTGTCCAGGACGTACAGAGTGCCTGGAAACAAAGCAGCACAAATACTTCATACATGCTGACATGACAACATGTAAATATTTAGACCTCTTAAACACAAGTCACATGTCTAGTGAGAGACTAAACATGAAATGAATAAGGAGGACAATGTTATGATAAATGACATAAAGAAACAACATAGTTTCCTCATTACTATCCAGACTGAGGCATCATGAAATCATCATCTTTTGCCACTGACCTGAAAACTATTCTTTAACTTCTCTTAATACATAAATAAACTTATATCTAACATAATGTTGAGTGGGCACCTGTCATTCTTTAGGCTAAACTAATTAAGGGACAGGTGACACAGATTGAGCTTAATCTGAAAGGGCGTTCAAGAGGTAAAATTAAGTCATGGTTATTTTCAACTCTGAATTCAGTTGAAAAGACTGTGTTTTGATTTAAGTCAAATACAAAGACATATATGAAGACACACCAGAAGACATGTAACAAAGTGAGACTTTTTTGTGTTATAACTCACCATCATTAGCGGGATCTTGAGGACTTGGAGGTGCTTTTGGAGTTGGAATAACTGCAAAACAAAAAATAGTTATATGAATATGCTGACTGGCATACTGATCCATAGTATGCATTACAAGCTTTAATTATTAAAATAACAATACATGTACTGATTCAGCCTGTCAGCTACATGCCAGAGGATCAGCAGATCACTGATATTGCTCTGTGTTGATAAGCAGCTCTCTTAGGAATGTGATACAGAAACCTGGACCAGGAAAGAGCCGCTAGTCTCGACGCTGACAGTGTCCGAAAGGATGAACTCAACGGACTCCAACCAGCTCTGCTAACCCATTTATTTCAAGCCATCTGGAAAGCTTTCAAAAGTTACTTAGCTTTAATGATGTCTTAACAAACAATACAAAGGCGCTTGTGTATGGGCAAACTCAAGAGGCGAGCCTGGTGCACGTCCAAGACTCCGGCACAATGGGTGCTATTCTTGGATAGGACACCTTTGAGTTACCATCTCCCATAATGGATAATGACAGGTCATCAGAGAGGACTTTAATTTGGGAGGGGACGATGGCCAGAGGACGTCCTCGCTCTCTGCCACCCTTCTCCCCCATCCTATTGCTCCAGTGTTATCTGTCCCGTGTGGCTTGTTATGCTAAGAATGTAGAGAGTGGTCTCTAATGCTTTCAGTCGAACCGGATCACAAGAGAGAGGAAGAGCACACCAGCTAGAGAGCGTGTGCAATGTTTTCATGCAAACATGACTCAAAGATTACATTTTGTTTGAATCTGGAGAAAACTAGACAACCAGCATCCAAGAACTGCAACATTAAGCATTAAGCAAAATATCGGTGTCCTTTCAAAGAATGCCTACATGTCTGTGCAGAGCAAAACTCTGCTGGACATCTGTCAGATCTTGACTTTTGTTCTCTTTTTTTGTAACAGAAACAAACAGCACCATGGAAATTAAACTCATGGCTTATGTTTGCAGCTTTAAGCTGTTGCCAGGGTTGGAACGCTTCAGATATCTCTATGAACGTCATTTGTTTATGTAAGTTTGCTTGCCGTGGAATGAGAGAGGACCCCTTCATAAGAACTTGTTTTTGTTCAACTCTGACCTCCCCTCACAGCGTGCAGAAACCACGGATGGCCTCTTTTAGACTCTTGACAACAGTTGTTCGTACCGACTGCAGTTGAATGTTCGCAGCCTGTTTCTACAATAAACTCAAATCTAAAAGGCTTTTAATGCCTCATACATCTGATAATATTAAGTGACTTTATACAGGACACAGCTTTCTTGAATGGATCTGCTCATAAATCTTTGTCTTCAGTATTGATCTGAAGGGGGGAGACATACTGTATCTTTTGTCTTGTTGGCAACAGTCTTCAGAAATGAATACAAAGTCATGCACAGGTAGAAATATCCTTATCAATATCTTTGAGTTTAAAACTGATATATCCAGACTTTTTGTTCATTTTATGAATAAAGTAAGCCATTATAGTCAGTGAATACATCAGCTCACACAGGGAGGATCAAACCCTATTTAGCTGTTTTTATGATGATGTATCCAAAACATAGACTGTAAATATTAATGGATGTTACTGCAGGGGGCTCCAGAGGCTCATCAGCGGCCGCCATGCTGGAAATGCTGTCTCAGCCTAATTTTCAGTCAGCCTAACTTTCAGTCAACCTAACGACAGGCTGAGAGCTGGAGCTGAGGTGGGTTTTAAGCCTCTTGACAAACAGCTACATGGCACCCACCTGTCAATCAGGTCAGCAATAGATAACAATAGATAACACTTATCGTTCATAAAACCAAAATGGATGCGTTTAAAAAAAAAAAAATCATTCCCCATACAGTGTGTGCCCATGGTGACAATAACGAATCAGACCTACATCATTTTTGTACCTGGCAGTAAACAGGTTAATTTATGCTGTTAAAACGGGCATTGTTGGCTGTGGTGTGTATTTGTCTGGTGCTTCTCTGGCCAGCCTCAAGCGGACACTGGACTGACTGCTGCATTTTACACTTCCACATTGGCTTCATTTGTCAACAGCGGCGGTTGCTGTTTGATCAAAACATACATATATAACAGAAATCAGCTCCCTTTTTTTCTGAAATGTCAGTATATTGTAAAGTATATTGTACACTCTGCAGTGTTAGTATAGTAAATTATTTGATAAAATAACCTTAATAATGTTTTGATTTTTAAGCAGGCTATAAGTTATTCATTAAAATGTGGAAAAACAAACTCTAGTTTGAGGTTCTGTATATCCTTTAACTCTCTGCAGACTTCAACCAGTAACACTACCTGCACTGGTTTAATGATATCATTTACACTGCCAAACTCTCCAATAAATACTTTTCCATTTTTCCTGAACGTTACCAGATCCATAAAAAAGGCATAAAATTCACTGATGTTGTGAAGCAGTAAATCTACTTTTGATGGCAGGGCTTTGAGGCTGTTATGTTTTTCCATGCACCAAGTTGGCCACAAGTGGCCCCCTTGGATTTGTAGATCAAGTTCAGCTCTTTGGGATGCCGTCCAGTGCAAAGCCGTGGCTGTTGAAAAGGCTGCTTGTTTTGTTTGCCATCTTAGCATAGGAGATGCCTTTGTGTTATAAAACACAGCCTTTGAAATTAAGGTTTTTTTCCACTGTGTTTATTGCATATCTGTGTTTACTTAATCCGCTCCATGGAAAACAAACCCCCTGCACTTGTATATTGGTGTGGGCAATTCCTGTTGCTTCCTACTCTGGACTAGCTTAGCAAGCTCACTCCCTCATTACAGCACATTTCAGAGTCTCAGTTCACCAGTTACTCTAACATCAACACTGGAACTTCTGTGATTGAAAGTGACGGAATCTGTATCTCTGCCAAGTATACTGAAACCCGATGTGCAATTTAAAAAGTAATAACTACTCCACCTAATGTTCGGAAATTCTTTGTACAACCCGATTGATGCTGATCAACATTTTAGAGTTCTAAAACATAGAAATTGCAATTATTAGTAATGTAGTATAATATTTTGGCTGCAATTAACAATATTTTTACAATCTATTGGCCCTCCATCCAAGTAAAATTATCAGCATGGTCCAGCAAAAAGTAGTTCAGTAGTCCAACAACTGATTTTTACAGGAAGTGAATGTAGCCCCTTGGTTTTAGAATATAAACAAATGCAGAAGGACCTGCTATTCCAGTTCTTTCTAATGGCCAGCAGGGTCCAAATCTAATGTTTGAAAACAAGAAGTCCAACTGAATGCAAGTCTACCATGAAAAGAGGCCAGTTTTCACTAGATTAAATAGAAAGTAAACATTTTCCAAATAAGTGTATGATTCTCCAGTCCAGCATGATGTTCATTCAGTTAATTATGGTCCAATAAAGACGATAAAGCTGGGTATGGTTTAGTGTGTGGCTCCTTGTAATTGACAAGTCGTTACCAATGTAATGTTTATCATGACGTGTGCTGCTGCCCTCTCGGCCAGGTCAGCCTTGTGAAAGAGATCTTGATCTCAATGGGTTAATAATCTGGTTCAATAAAATAAAAATAAAACCACTGTGACCTTTGAAGCAGACTACTGAGAAAGTAAAGAGTATACCTCCTCTCGTCTAAATATCGTCACCTTTTGTATCAATCAAAACAAGATGGTGAAAACCACAATCTTGGAGCTTAAATAAATGACAGTCCATAAATGAGTGGGTGACACCAAGCTGGATATGTACACTTCTTATATCAAACAAATAACACCCATACTTGAAGTGGAATGGCCACCCCAGACGTCATCTCAAACATCTCGAAGCATGTGGCTCCTTGCAGGGCAGATGTTCAGTCCCAATATATTTTTTTATTACTATCTTTATATGGATGTGTAAAAGCTGAGCAAAAAAATCAAGTTGACCATGGCCCCCTTGTTTTAAATGTTCTTGGTCTGTTCCAGCTTGTTAGAAACTATACATGTGACACATAACAGCTGGTGTATATAACAATACAATATAATTTAAATAAGGCTGGCTTTTGCTGTTATCGGCCGCCCTGATATATCAGTCTAATTCAATCTCACGCTGTTTAACATGACGTGATTTATATTAAAGTCATGAGTCAGTACAGTTGACTCAAACTGACCACAGATCTCTTGATGATGTCATTGCTCAGAAGGGATGCTGATTTAAACAACTCAGGCTGCCCACCAGAGATCAGGCACTCATGATATCATTCCATTTCAGTTCAAGCCATAATTAGTCAAATGTGACCTCAGGCCCCCCTCAAATCTGCAGTCTTCCCCCTCCCTGTGATCACACTCACAGCCTCTCAGCCTCAATACTGTGAGTGTATGAATGACGATACAAGTTTTGATCCAGCCTTCAGGCCCTGGCTGGACTCCTGAAGCCAGAGAGAGGACCACCACTCCCCTCTATCCTCACCCCCCCCCCCCCCCCCCCCCCCCCCGCTCCAGTGGAAAGTGGAGGCCACAGTGAAGGTCCTGAGTGAAAACAACTGGAGCTTGGTTCTGTATGACTCCTTTTTTTCCACCTCTCAGCATGGTTGGGCCCAGAGCAACCGAACTGGGCCTCAGCGTTGGTACACTCCCATTCACTGCTGTCAACCACATGCTAGTATGTACACACACACCTAAAAACACACTCTGTGTGTACTGTCGTTACTGTAAACAGTCACAAACGTGCATACACGCGCACCTGCGTACACAATCCTACTACACATACACACACCGCAGTTAATGATGACCAGATGTGGGGAAGTGATGTGCAGTGTTTTGTGGTTTTGGTCTAATCTCCAAGTGCCGGACCGGGTTTTCTCTGGCTCTGTTGCCCTCACACCGGCCTCTCTCTCTTTACCACAGTTTCCTTATCACACCTCACTTTCAAAACAATGGACATCAGAGCTTAATAAAGATATATATAAAGATATTGAGGTAGGGGGAAACAGCTGTAAAGACACACATGCATCTTGTCAACGGAGTGAGGAGTGTGTGTTGTTTTCATCTTTACGAACCTGTAATGCCTGAATGACTTCCATCCACGACAACCAGCGGCTTGGTAGACGTCTTTGTGTTCATCATCATGGCCAGGATATTGTCCAGACTCAGAGAATTGCAGGTCTCACCAGGTTGTAAGCACTGTGGGGACATCATTTAAGAAATGAACAGAATGAACCAATCTCAACAGGTAAATAATAATACAAAATAAACATTTTAAAATGCCACTCTTTAAAAGCTCTTTCTCTTCACATTTTGAAAGCAACATTGACATTTTTCAACCTAAAGGAAATGTCTTCTGTCATACCTGACAGATGGAATAAACTTTGAAATCAAACAAATGACAAACTCGTGATTCTTAACCTGACACTGTGATTGTAATCATAACAGAACAATCAGCTTCACAGTCACAAGTCGGCCTCAGGCTAGTATTCGTACAAAATGTTTTTCATCTGAAAAGTTTTTTTTTTAAAATAGAGGAAAGTTCTTGCAAGAGATTATATGAGCTGGACAGATAAAACAGTGAAAAATGAAAGTGATGGCCAAGATGGATGTTTTGTTCTGCAGCTGGATATTTGGCAACCTTTGCATCAATTCATGTTTCCTGCTTCCAGTGCAGACCTGATACTGAATGGATCAGGACAGCCAGAGTAAAGATGGTTCACTACTACACTACACTAAAGACATCCTATAACAACACTGCTAACACTTCTTATCCTTGGAGAGGCTAAAATAACCATATAGACTTTTACAGTTACTTTTTAGACATGCAAAAAAAAAAAAGGTTTTGCTGCATACCATTGGTAGTCTTTGGTTATTCTGAGGTCTTTTAGAGCACAGACACATCTGACAGTGCAGGAAAATGAGGCTGGTATTGAAAATTGAATTGAAGTTGAAGCTGAAACTTTTCTTCTCCGTCTGCATGTGAGCGACAGGGAAATCCCTCCGAGGATAGTATTTGACGGAGTCGTCTGTCGGGCAGACCGTCTCAATGAGAGTGTAGTCCGAGGCCACACTGGGGTTGGAGTCGGGAGAAACAAAGCAGGATATGATGGTGAACCCCAGCTCTGGATCTGATGCGGTTGATGTGACCTAAAGCACAAGAGAGAGAGAGAGAGAGAGAGAGCGAGAGAGAGAAAAAACATTTATTATGTAAAGAGAGAGGAAGCCTCTTACAGTGATCACGTCTGTCAAAGTTATGGCTTTAAGCAAATCAGCCAAAAAACATGTCAGGCAGAAAATGGGCACTACTTAACTTTTGCAAGAAAATTATTTAATGAGCATCTGTGAAGGAAGGACTCTATCCCAAGCTTTTTGATTCATGCTGTTGATCCCTGTTCATGGATTATGATCAAAGATACTGCACTCATGATTACTGAGTCTAACTGTTCGATAAAAATTAGGGTTCGGAAGGAATGCCATACTACTCTTTAAAGACTATTTTGTGGGCAGCCGTGGCTCAGATGGTAGAGTCGGTCGTTGGAACGTCGGGGGTTAGATCTCCAGCTCCTGCAGCCACATGTCCGATGTGTCCTTGGGCAAGACGCAGTTTATGAATGGATAAGTTAATACTGATGACGACTTTACAAAGCGGCCTCTATCATCAGTGTGCGAATGTATAGATGTGACCTGCGGTGTAAAAGCGCTTTGAGTAGTCCTTGCTCAACAAGGTGGAGCATTAAGAAGAAAAAATGCCCAGATCATTTTGTGGAGTTATGTGGAAACCAGACCAGAGCAGGAATGAAAATCAGTACTGGAGTTTCGTTCATCAGGTAGACACAAAAATAAATGCTTAAGTTATTCTGTCTGTTGGATGCGTAACAACTATTTGCAAACACATTAGCTATTACCACGACAACAAATATCTCCAAGTAGTATTTCAGTCATAGTTAGGAGGATGGTAGTAGTATCTTTCCAGCCATGAGACAGTCCCTTGAGTTATTATCCCTTCTCTTTCCTTTTTTATTTTCACTGATTGTCAGTGATGGTTTCCTCAGACATACGCACACATACACACACCCCCACACACACACACACAACTCTTTGTAACCAGCTGGCTCTGTCAGCGCAGCATCTCCCACTGATAGCATCATAAATCAACTCTTCAAAGGACCTCAAAGTATGGGTCTTTGCCATCTCTTACATGACCTCCATAATTGCTGTTGCGAAACACACAGACAGGATTTCCAGCCAGATGGACGGGATACGGAGACACGTAGAGAGGAGATGCAATGAAGATGAGGGGTGAAAGTGAGTGTTTACTTTTTGTTGAGCCCCAACGAGACAAAATACAAATTGACACAGTTGATGTCCAACAATGAGATCAAAGCAGGAAGAGCTAAAGTCCCAGACAGAGAGTAAACAGAGCAGAGTTTTGTTACAGATTAGTTTGTTTAAAGCTTGTTTTTTCATGAATTCAACATGACGTAGCATGTCATGAAAAATCATACTTGTGCTTTATTCTACCTCGAGTTGTGGTATCTCAAAAACTAAAGCCCTTTTCTGGGGGGGGACCATTAGGTCAGGGTTTTGATCTCCAGCTCCTACAGCCCCAAATCTGGAATATTGTAGTGTTGTCTTAAACCAAATGCGTTGGTTTCCTGTGTGTCAAAGGATCAAATTTAAATGCTTTGACCAGCCAATAAAACTACTTTGGTTTAAAATCACCTTGTTTTTGCATGTATGAAGCATCCAGAGCCCTCACATTTACTGATAGTTTTCAGGATCAAAACTCAGGATGATTCAGCTGCTCTACATTTTACAACCCAACCATGGAAGAAGCTACCTTAATACCTAAATCAGGGTTTAAAATATATTTCTTTACTCCAGCATACCCAGTGATAAGATACATTTCTTTCTATTAAACTCTATCTTTTATTTATCTTATTTTTGATTTGGGTGAAGTTGGAGTGAAGTTTACTTCTGCTGATTTGTTTTGATTGTCTTTAAAAATGCAATTCTGTTTTCTGAAGTCATCACTTTTAAGTTTCTTTTATCCCAAAAGAACTTCAGATTCCCATGTGTTCTAAAAAAGAGCAGATTGATACAACACACATCCCTCTTTAAAGCTCAGATTTGGGGGCCAAAACTCAAGTTGCATAATGTATTACTTCATCTTCATCATCCAGACATGAACTATTACTGTAATTAAGGGACATTATGTTGGAAATGCAAAGCATACCTCCACAAAGACTTGCTGATTTTGTGCGACAGTGTAGAAGGCCTGGCGTGAAGGGCTGTTGAACGGCAGCGTGTAGTACAGCTCCATGTTAAATGACATGTTGTTGACTGGCTGCTTCGCTGGTCCCGGTACAATCCTGTCAAGAGTCTCTGAGGTCTCCTGGTTCTTTCGGTATGTGCAGTTGAACTGGGAGGAGAATAAAGACAAAGCCAACACAAATGTCACTCCACTGCTCCATGACTGTGTGCTAGTGCTTGACCACGTTGAAATGGATCAGAAAATAGCGATACTGTTTAAACAAGAACAATAAGTGGAAGAGGAGGAATGGATGAGACAAAGGAAAATAAGTCTGTAGAGAGATGAAGATGGAGAAACTTCAAATGGAAAATGTCAGGTCAAGTTCATAAAAAAGATATCATGGAAAGTCAGAGAGATTGTAGGAGCCAGATGAGGCTTTACTAGCACCAAGGGGCTCTGGGAAATTGAGTTTTTTTTCCAGCCTGTCAGGATTTACATTGTGATTTAGATGCTCATTGGTCCCTGCAGTGACCCTGCAGTGAGTTGCAGTTCTCACACAGACCGAACCACACTGTCTTACCTCAATGACGGACGGGTGCTCTGTGCGCTCCGTCAACGTCTTCTCTGACTCCTTTGGGAACAGCACATCTCCAGATTCCAGGTCGTCATAATCAAGAGGCCCACCGCTCCCATCCTTATTCTCAGCATGACTTATCAGGACCTGCAATCCACAAAATAATCGAGTTGTAACAAATCCCAGGCAACGTAAGGAAGAAAAACTTTGACAAAAAAACAACTTTTCTACAGATCCAGTTGTGACTAGTGTTTCCTAATTCAGGGTTTTCAACAAGTCAAAGTCATGGAGATTTGGATCTTTGAGAGGGCTGCCAAAACATTTGGATTTGGATTTTAAATGTGGGAATGTCCTGTTGCTTCAGCCGAGGGACTCACACTGAACAAAAACATAAAAACATACTTTTAATTTCTCAGTAGAGCAGAGGAATGTCAGAGGTCTGAGATGAGTACTGCTTGAAGATTTGTCTTATTTAATGAGGTAGGAGGACAATCTCCATGACACCAGCAGTGTTTTTCTTCAGTCTCCACCAAGTGTGAGTTGACCTGCTGTTGGTGCCACTGCAGACTTACATCAACATGTCACACGACAGCAGAAACAACAGCCAGAATAGATTATATGTGACGTGCATGGACCTTGACAATGAAAATGTATCTCTTTTGACAAGAGGTCAAAGGTTATCGATGCAGCCAAGTGTTTACACAAAAGACAACCTTGGACATGTGCCCAGGTTTTCAATCTGCACTGGACACAAAATGTATTGCTCCACAAATAATTTCTAAAGGTTGTGGAGGCAGTGATTCAGCTCTGCCTGAACAAACACTTTGGATGAATGCATACCATAATGATGAAGATAACTGAGGGTAACAGCATGTGAATGCTGAGGCCCATGAAGACACTGAAATGTTCATCCAACATGCAAACGTCATTTAGAGTTAAAGAAGTCACACTTTTCAACTTGCTGAAGGCAACTATTAAAAATAATAACATAATACAAACAATCATAGAACTGATTAGGATGCAATCTATCATAATGCGGAGTAAGCAGATATAATTGGTTTGTTTAACTAAGGGTGCACTCACATTAGGCAATCCGTACCGTGCCCAAACACGTTTGACCCCAAATTTCCAGTTTGTTTGAGTAGTGGGAGTGCTCTGTTCCATGCTTAAGGACGGTAAACGTCCTTGGCCCTTGCATGCATGGAAGAGGTGCGCTTCGGCACGGTACAGTTGTTCATGCACGAGCACAAGGCAAGTACGGGTATACATTGTGGACAAAAAGTATAACTAATCCCCGCCTCCATTGACATTATAGTGTTCTGGCTGTGTCTGACTAAAATGACTCAAAATATGCCACAAAGTCTGTAAAGTTGCAATCATATTGTCTGTGTTGTTCTCCAATGTGGGGACGTGGACTCGGCCGCATGTCCTTTTTATTTTTTCCTGTCTTGTAAAATGAGCATGATCATGATCATATGAAGCCATGCATGTGTTGTATTATGAGATTATGTACAAGAGGTAACGGGCACAGGCCCGGTAAATTCTGGAGCAGTGTGAGTGCAGGACAGTGGGGGAAGACGGAGACCAATCATGCTTCAGCACGGTATAGGGCAACTGACCCTAGATGTAAAAATGGTAGTGGTACTCACAGAGTTCATGTGAAGGGCCATCGGGCTGTTCGGCATTGGATACACAGCGGTGTGACAGCCATTCAGAGGAGTTTCCAGCGTGTAGTGGGTGGCATTTACTGTTGCTTTGCAAGTAGGGTCTTGGAGCGTGAGGTTGGCGTGCGTAAACCCACTTGCCTGAGGAAACATAAAAAAACAGCATTATTGGAATATAGATCTAAAAACTTTCCTTTATTAACTCATATTCAGAATTTGAAAAAAAAAAAGGCTAAAAGAAGAAGTGGTTGTGTTTGACTTTGAGTTCCCAGGAATAAACAAATCCCACAAGGTGGTCTAGCTCCAGCCACAGCTTCTCCTAATTACAGTCTGTGCCAGTTTCCACTCTGTGATGTGGGCTGACTGCGCTGTCCTTGTGTTGAGATGCCAAACGCTGGGAACCAGTCCACTTGCCTCAATGTCAGCCTGTGTTTAACGGGGCTGTGAGTATTTAAATATAAAGAATTAGAATAAGAACAATACCTGTCATTGTTCTTAACAGTATCGCTTTTAATCATCTCACACTAGATCCAAAACGGATTATCTATTATCAGGTCTGCAGGTCAAACTGATCTCTACAGCTGTGACTGAATGTTTGTATTGATTTACGCTAAAACTCCCCTCTATAAGGTTTAAGAACAAAAGCTCCTCACTTGTTGTTTTGCATATCAACAACCTAGAAACAGCATTTTGCCACATCAGCATTTTGAAACTGTGCTGAAGAAGACATTTATTCAGACCCCTAATTGGTGGGGACTCTGGCTGATCTTCTCTTTGGGTGCCCTCCATGCTTTTTTTTTGTTTTTCTTTTCTGTTTAATGTTCTTCTTGTCACAGATTGTTAAATCAAATCTCTGAAGCAAAAGCAAAGATGTATGAATACAGAAACTAAACACAAATCTGCTTGTCAAGACTGCATTTTAAAGATATAAGATGTTACTGCACTAAGTCTAGATCGGAAACAAAACATTTAATGGTAAAAAAAAAATTGATGTTTATGATTAAACTACCTTTTTTCAATCATTATATAAGGAGAAACAGCTGTTCTGCCTGCTAAATCAACATTAGATAAGAAAGTTTCTCAACGGTTTGCTTTGTGCTGACTAATATACTGCCTTAAGAATTACTGTAGTCAATTAGGTTGACTTAAATTTTTATTATTTGATAATTATTACTGTCACCTTATGAGCTGCAAAAAAACTGCAAACGCATTTTTAAAGCCTAAAACTGTTGCCATGGTGTGAGACAAGTGATTAATAGCATAGTGCAGAAACAGCCTTTTTTTTACATTTCCAGGTCAAATATGTTTTTTTTTATTCAAACAACTTCTTACAAAACAATTTTAAATCAGTAAAGCGATATGAGGTACCTCTTTGTTCCCAGGTGTCACCAAAGTATTCTCTCAGCTACCTCTCATTTTCATATCATCATAAACTGTTTGAGTAATTAATGATTTAAATGAATACTACAAACATTTGACACATCATGTTTGACATGCCTTAAATTTAGAAGAGTATAAGGTTCAGGCATTAGTTAAAAAATAGAGGGGAAAGATATCTTTAATTAATCAAGAATAAAGTCATTAACATTAAAATGCTAAGAATATAGTCATGTCTGTTTCTTGTTTAATATGTTTCATACTTGCAGCATTATAACAGAAAATCATTTTTAACCCTTTATTTCTATAGTCAGGGTCCATATCGGTGATAAAAATATGCTTTCCACTCACTTGCAAACTCTCTCTGTCGATGCTGACCACCATCTTTGTGTTCTCACACTGCACAGTGAGCCCAACACTCAGGACACCCTGGTGCTCCCATCGGCCGCACGTCCAGGGAGGGGTGCAGCTGCAGGTAGGGCAGGCCGTCGGACACAGGTGGAGGGAATTGAAAGGGCAAACTGGAGTGTGGAGAAGCAACTCCTCCTCCTCCTCCTGGATGAGGACTAGAGTCACGCAGGATGGAGAGCTCTGGAGGAAACTTGCTCTCCAGAGGATCCACCACATCTGGAAGTCACACATGGTTAGAACCTCAAGAGGCTGATTTTACAGGCAGGCAAATTACACAGAGCTACAACTAGAAAACCATTTCACAATTTCATGCTAAGTTCTCTGTAAAGACTGTGAAATGTGCAATATTAGTCATAAAATAATCTGCAACAGCTGCTAAAGGATATGAGTTGCAGTTGGTGTTTAGCTACAATACATTTCTTCTATTTGGGATTCAGGTGATCATAACCCGGTACAGATATTTAGAGGATGTGTCTTCAGTTTACCTGGCTCTCTGAGCCGGATGGTGAAGTGGTTAGCCACAAGAGTAATGGTGTAAGACGTGGCTGGACCGTAGCCATGGTCCCTTGCCCACTTGATCAAGGCTTGTGACCCCGATGGTAAGTGCTGCTTGGGGGATTTTGAGACCTGCATCAGTCTGTCTATATTTGAACCAAGACTCACTGTATCGGAGGCCTGTGGGAAACAAAGAAAGAAGTCTCATCATGTGTTTTCCACTACAAATTAAGAACATACTTTTAAGGTAAAGCTCCTTTAAGATCTTTAGCACAGGAGGACATGATTTACTGTTCAACTTTTACCAGAGATATTCAGCTTCAAGTACAGTCCTGTGTCAAGTGTGTGAATCATGCGCATGAGTGTGAGCTAATGGGTGTGCCACAGCTAAACCGATGCTGAGAAACCAATATGTCAGATTGCTCCTAAAATCCATGTTCTACCCTGCAGTGTACTCCCTGTGAGGGAGTAACGATACTTTCTCACAGCCGTTTCCCACACATTCAAGTCTCTTGAGCAACACTTGAGTACAACCTGCTTTCTGACAGAAGTGAGGCCTCGCTTTTTACGAGACTATCACACATTCATAGTTGACACTTTCCCAAACACTGGTTGCACAAGCGCTGCAAGCCCTGTGTACAACTTGTCGAATCATAGTCAAAAAGTCCGCTTTTTGGGAAGTGTGTTTAGACAAACCATCCTCATGGGGTGTTACATGGACTATCACATGGGGCAGCACTTGCACATAGTGTGAACACAAACTCAATAGTGTGTTTTTGACGAAACACCAGTGTGATCAAACAAATGTAATCACCCATTTATCATGAATGAGTGCATGTATCAAACCTTAAAGGCACATGTAACTCAATATGATAAAGATAATGCAGACTGCAGTTAGCATAGTTGAAGGTGCTAACATTTTAGTTTGTATCTCAATTGTTGCACAAAAGCGCCAGTCTGCCTTTGTTCATGTGCCTCCACAAGATGAAACCTGCAATGGTCACAACTCAATATGTGTTTCAGTCTTGTGCAACCACTGAAGCTAGTGATAGAGAACTGATGCAGTTAATTCTGAAAGATTCAAAATCAAAACGAACAGCAGGTGTAATTTGCACCATGGTCGAGCTAATTATGTTAGCATGGATTAGCCTTTTGGTGAAGACACAGCACAAAGTACAGGTTAAGTGGATTGGAGTGCTGTCGTTCTTACAGATGTGCTAAACCGATCTGAAACATCCATACTGAAGCAGATTAAGGTATCCGATCAGTTTTGGCGAACTAGATCTATAAAGAGCCAGATGCAATTCCTTTTTAGGTCAGCTTTCATACAGAAGTTTATTCATGAAGCTTTATGTGGCAACACCATGTGCAGCTCAGCTTTGTCAATTCAAAAAACGTTTTAATTTCTTCACTCTGCAGAGCTCCAGTATTTTGGACTTACCTGATTCAAAACACTACCCTTCATTAATAAGAAAATACAACCAGGACTCAGCATCAATGCATGCTGGCTTATAAATACCTCAGACCTGTAACACAAACCATGATAGGAACATCCTTTTTGGTTTTTTCGGCAAGGCTTGTTTAGAAACCAGTGGAGTAGTGTTAGTTCAGGGTGAAAGTTAAAAGATCCCAAATATCTAACAGTTCATCCAAAGGGTGACACTGAATTTTGTGAACCAAACTTCGATCCATCCAACAGTTGTAAAGATAGATAGAGATATTAAAACAGACCAAGGAGCAGAACAAACATAGTCATCTGTAGAGCCATGTTAAAATAATCTATGGTAAAAATATACTAATACCCATGACCTTAAGAACTGTAATGTTGTACAAGTGTTCAGTGGTTAAAAGAAAACAAATCCGTTAGGCACCTCCAGAGGAGCCATTACCATCTCTGCCACCTTTTTTTTTTGCTGTACTGTACATAACGCAGGCATTAGGTGACCTGGCATAACACTCAAACGACCTGACTGACGTACGGTGCAGCAGCGAACGGGCAGCTGTGAAAACACAGCGTGCCTGGCTGAAGTGCAGTGTCATGGCTGCAGCAGCTCTGTAGGAGTATCAGAATTACACTCAGAAGAAACACAGAACCCCCTGCAGACCTCTGGTGAAATGAATACAGGGTTAACAGCAGAGAGCGGCATACAAGACAACAGCACAATATAAAAGTCAATACCAAAGTACCCAGACTCAGCACATTTTAAGTGTTTTCTTAAACTTGGAGAGTTTAATGCTCTAAAAGAAGGGTCTTAAATTCAATCCCTTGAGCAAATACATAAGTTGGACAACTTCCAATTCCCTGTCAACATGATCTGTAGTTCAGCTCTTCTTCCAAAGTGTACATACAAGGTGTCATATTCTTAACGTTCCTGAGGGTCCTTGGAGATTTGAGTTATACAAATGAAGATTTAAAATTAAAACTGTATCCATGCTTAGTCATGATATGTCTTAAACCATATTTCTAAATGAAAGGGCGCTCTGATATATTGCAGTAATTAGCCAGTGTTTGTCTTTAGAGTGTGGGGCGAGGAGGTCTGAACAGCTCACAGAAAAAGCGCCCTGAAGCAAGTGCTTCTCATAATTCACATTATGACTGATGGGAAGAAGCAGTGAAGGGTCCTTGTGCTGCAGCTTCACTTTTGAAATATTTGATGCCCCGATAAATCCTGTCCCCGGCTCTCTCTGAATGTGATGACAGACCCCGGAGCTGCTGCGATGACACTTCACACTTCCTCCTCTAACCTGTTATCCCCTGACTCTCCCTTCAACAGGGGGACCAGGCACCATTTCAACACACAGCCTAGAGTGACACTTTTTCTGGTCAGTCGTGAAGAGTGAAGACATTTCTGTCCGTGAAATGCAATGTGTGATAAGACTGTATAAAATCCCCATGGTGAGGACTGTAAGAGGGGAAATGTTCCTGGTTGAAAAGCTTTTATCTGTTGTCACGGTGATATCTTACCACTACATCCAGCTTGCCGATCACGCTGTGGGCCTTGATGACCCAGTTGACGGACTTTGCGCACTTCAGCAGCAAGACGACGTCACGATGGAGCGGGGCATCGTCCTCAAGAGGCCGTAACTCCACTATGACATCCACCTGGAAAGCACTGCAGAGGAGGGAGAGAGAGAAAAAAATAACTTCTTGAGGGTATGGCCAACGAAGCGTTATCGTGCCTTCTGTGTCTGGCCAATTAATTACAGAGCTGGATGTGTTCCCAGAGAAAAAGCAGACATATGCACTACAGACCAGATAGCACTCGAGTGAGATACAGCACAGTTGCTAACACATTTGTGGTCTTCAGGGTGCACAGAATAATCACTCCGCAGAGGGAGTGAGGAAACTATCTGGCAATCTGGACTCTGAAATCAAGTTTTGAAATATCTCTTTTAAAAAAAAAACATCCCAAAGTGAAGAGTAACAACCCCCCCCTCGCTGCCTTCATGTTAGTTTCCGTCCAAAACGAACCCCACAGAGATTAGTGAGAGCATCCTGACCTCAAAAATAAACTATGACAACATGTTTTCCTGGCTTTGGCTGCATACCTGCTGGAGTTTGGGGCTTGGAGCTCGACGATGTGGACTTCTCGGTCTTTGTCGGGTCCAGACAGGACGCAGCCCTTTGATGTCTGCGGCTCCACGTAGCCGCCCAGGTAGTTCAGAGACAGGAACTTGGTATCAATCCTGCAGGTGTCAGAAAACACTGGATCTGAAAGTAGAGAGATGTTTATATTACTCTTCAGGGGTTCTGAGAGCTTGTTTTGATCCCCAGAGAAGAAATACAGCTTTTTGTAACCCTTCCACCGCAGCGAGGTCAGAGCACAAGGTCAGCTGCAGAACAGCACCCCCTGCTTCTGGGAGGAGTTCAATGTCTGCTTTGACCCTGCCGCTCCATCTGAAGAACAGTTTACCTGCAGCTGGTATTCCCATTGCCTCAGCAGCACTAGCTAGACCTGCATCATACGAGGTATGGCATGCTCTGGTTGGCACAAACTGCCCTCTTTTCAACAGGGACATTTCTGTTTTGGGCTAACATGGGAAAATTAAGAAAGGGTTTTTACCAGCATGCTCCAGCACTAACAGGATGATGAAATTCATAAACAAACTCTGGGGTTATTTCCTTAACTTTCACAAATGTTCATAAATGTCATAACTGCCAAGATAGTAACTTAAGAACTTAAAATGTCAGGTCCCCTCAAAGCACTCAGGGGAAACAGAAGACAGCTGTTTCCTTATTTGGCAAACAGAGCCTTGGAAAAATTGTAAACTGAAGGTTGGCACTTTCCTCTCTGGACCCCCTGTGGCACTGGTACGTCCTTGGTTAGGAGGCAAGGTTAGAATCTGTCCATCTTCATGAAGAACTATTGAGGATGTGAAGGACTGGAAATCTACAGCTCTTTGCTTGAAGTAAACATCATGGCACCTTGGGCTTTTGCCAACCCACAGCCCTCCCTCTAATGACTCGAGCAAAAGAAAAAAAAAAAAAAAAAAAAAATCCTGAAGGCTTAGAAACCACTCTGTTCTCCACTGCAACTAAAACAGAGACAGAACTTATCACCAGCAGTGGAGACATCATTTCTCCAGATGTGAGCTTTGTTTTATTTCCAAGGAGTGAAAGATGCTCATTAAAAACAAGAAGTCCTGTCAGAGAGCTGATACATGGTGAACTGAGATGTGCCGTCAGTTTACTGGACAGAGGGGCCAGGAGTTTGAAGAATGAAGAGTTCATGGCTCAAGCACATGTGAAGATCAATCATGGCCTCTCCTGAGAATCCCCCAGTGATCAATCAAAAACATCCCCCTCACTATTTTACCTATTGGAAAAATGTGAAAAGCTATTTCTTTCCTCTACTTACCTCTGATTATTTCCCATCATCATCTGAAGGGTGACGCCACTGACACTAAAGTATATCCATGCTTTACACAACACATACTATGGCCTGTAAGATTTATTTAACCATTTATCAGTTATAAGTTAATGGTAGATTTTATAATCAATAAAGAATTAAAAGTGGATTTCTGAATTTTAATCCAATTAATTTTTTTCTCAAATTCATTATCCAATAGCTGTCTGCAATGCTTCTGTTGATGCACTGTCCTTGCTTTGTAAATGGGAAGAAAACTCTTCTTCTCTGTATGTTGGCCTTTTCAGGTTCACCTGTAGCAACTGTTATGTATACGGCTAGTTATTATCTATTTAGTGTTTCAACTATGTAAGAAAAAAAGATAGCAAGGAGCGTCTAAAAGATATATAGCGTACTGAATATAAAGGTTTAAATTTGCTGCAATTAAGCTAAAATACACAAATACATGGCTCTGCAGTTTCATTATTTTTAGTGGGGCTCAGATTATTTATGAGACTGTAAGCAGCCACAACTCAGAGTTACCACGGGTAGCCTGCAAGAAAGGATGAGCGCCTGCTGAGAGAAGCAAATTCTTTTCTCATAGCAGTGCATATAAACCTCAAGCTAGGGCTCCAACACAAAAGCTTAGTTAAGTTTAGGAAGCTAAAGGGGAACAGGGAGGCGTGCCTTGAGGCCAAGAGCTATGTTGGGAATCTGGGGAATCTTGCACACACCTTCTCCAACTTTGATGTAGATGTCTTGAGTCATCCTGAGCTCAGAGAAGGAGGTTACCGCTCTGTACTTCTTCTGGGCCCAGTTAAGGAGGTGCTCATTGCCATGGGGAAGGGTCTCCTTCTGGATCTGGCAAAGGCGGGAGAAGTTTCCCGGCTGAAAGTGGACCTCGGAGCCCTCGGATACCTTGAGGAGAGGAAAATGGAGGCGTGTTAGAGGGAAAAAAAGAGCTGCTCTGATAATCTGGTATCTCAGTTCTGGTAAATGTGATCGCATTACCAGGACACATAGAAGTGATATCTGTTTGTTTTCTTCAGCCCACTGAGCTTAAGAAAAATGTAGCATCCTCTTTTTTCACGTTTTCAACAGTACATATGCACAAAAAAGTCAGCTCTAGAAGCTCTTCCCTCTTTAAGATAGAGCATGTGAGATTGTCAAATGAAGCAGCTGCAGGCAGACTTAACAACAGCTCTCTAAACATTTTGAAACCCATTCTTTATTCTCCATCCAAACCGTTCTATTAAGTCTTTAAACTTATATACAGAGCTCATTTTTTTTGCGTTCTTCTTCACAGTATTGTGTCTGGTTTCCAGTGTTCAGACGGAGAAAATAAAGTGTTGCAGAGTGTCATCGCAAATGATCAAGTCTGCCTAAAAAAGACACAAGGTGTGACAGAAAAGACACAAAAACAAGTAAAACAGGCACACACACACAAAACTCCAGACCAGGTTCTTCATTTCAATACTTTACTGACAGCTTTTCTTGTCATATCAGATACAAAAAATATACACAAGTACTAATACACTAAACGTGAAGCACGGTCAAGGACCAGTGTAATACAGCTTCCAGTAAACAATCAAGCCAGCACTGGCAGCACGCTGTGCCCTTCAACCAATCAGGAGCCAGGGTTGACTGCAGTCTTAACCAACTTCAATTAAGCAAGCTGCACTGGCCTGAGCAGATTAAACACTGAACGGTAAATGGACTAGAGCTTGTATAATTCTTTTTTAGTCTTCTGACTACTCAGAGTGTTTTTACACTGCAGGTCACACCTACACATTCACACACTGATGGTAGAGACTGCTGTGTAAAGTGTCCATCAGTAATTAACTAATCCCATTCATACACATTCATACGTCGCTGATGAAGCAGCGTGAGTAACTTTGGGTGAAGTGTCTTGCCCAAGGACACATCGGACATGTGGCTGCAGGAGCTGGAGATCAAACCCAAACCTCCCGGGTATGAGACAACTGAATCTACTAACTGAGCCACAGCTGCCTGAAGAACACAGAAGATAACTACTTCACTCTGATGTATAAATGGCTCTAACACTAGACATATGGCTTCATTTCAAGATGATAACAAGAGCAGTGCATGCTAAAATTAAACATAAATTCCTATAAGAAAAGTATTTGAAATGTGTCATGAGCTTTACTTGACAAACGTATGGCCTTATGTCAAAAGGAGGTTAAATTTACCTACAAACTGGAAGAATAAGCATTCAATCTGTTCTGTGTATCAGATAAATCGACTTGTTTTTAAGTCTATAAGCATCATCAATAAGATATATGTGTGGTCCTGTATACTGAAAATGTCTTTCTTGTTTTAAAGCTTTTGTGACAGTTTCTGTTCTACTGCAGACCATTTTGTTATTTGAAGTTATGTTATCAACTTTTGGTTTGTTTTTTTAGAGCTTTCTTTGGGATAGTAAAGAAGTGAGTAAATAACTGAAGTTCTGTGACAGATATTACTTTGGCAGAAAAAAAGGCAAAAGAAGGCTTAATAATATGGAGGACTAAAAGTGCTGATTTGCGTTTGACAGGGAAACTGGCCTTGCCCTATTGAGGAGGGACCACCCCTTTGGCACTTAATGGAGCTCAGCCCATATGCCTCATTTCAGGGAGATAAACATTCACATGTGCTGAAAAGCCTGCCATACAACCAAATGAGTCCAAGCACACGGTCTAGACAGCCTACCTCATTTTATGTCCATGCTTGTTTTTCTTTCTCCCTAGGTATCCTACCCGTATGCGTGAGCTGTCACTGTACTGGCAGGCCGGATTAAAACATTAAATCCATTTGAATCCACGAGGAATAAGAAAGCACACTCTTTGCGATGATGCCATGAATTTGTCCCCAAATCGCAATCATGATTCACTGATAGCAGACTAATTTCCCTTAAGGGTGTTCGGATTTTAGCAGACAGAACTATTCCAATCTCCTCGTGCGCAACATCTGCCTGACCTCTGGATGCTCCTCTTGATGTTCCTGGCATTGTCACCAGAGGCAGTAAATACTGCGGCCTAGGAGACAGACTCTGTCGAAGAATTCAGATTTTATTTTTAGTGTGTTTACTACGGCAAAAAGAAAGAAAGATGGCGAAGAGGTGGTGCCCTGAGTCAGTAAGGAGGGGCTTGGGTTGCTTCGCTTACTTTGCCAAGCTCAGCAGAGTTTATCAGTTTAATTGCGGGAATACGGCTATAATTAGTTGTGAGGAATTAGAGGGGGAAGCCTGAAAGCCAAATTAGCTCAAGGCTTTGCAGAGCACTGAAAACCTCAAGAATGTAAAACAGGGAAGTGCAGCCCCACTTTAACAAACTCTCTCTCTCTCTCTCTCTCTCTCTCTCTTGTTTTAACCCTCGCTCTCAGTCTCCCCTGCTGCATGCCCAGTTGACGGACCAAAAAGACTGGGGCTCTATTTTCCTGCAGGCTCACAGCCAGCACTAGGGGAAAATGCAGTTTTTATGCAATTTTCCTCTAGCGAAGACTATTTTTTGGAGTCCGAGCCTGTCTGGTAATTTCCTGGAACCAAACAAATGTGTTTGCACAAGGTAGCAGGAAAGGTACAGCCCGTCCTGCACCGAGCACCTGTTTTGCAAATGCAGAAGAGGAATACTCTGATGTCCTGAGTTGAGGCTAAAGCAAATTAGCAAAATCACATTACTTTCATGTATGTTTGTACACTTTATCAATCAACTTTAGATTCATATTTGCATCCTAATATAATTCTTAATGTGACCGGGGAACATTCTTATCATATATTCTTTTTTTTTTATCTCATGTTACTTTGAATTATGGTAATAAAGTCTGTGCAAACACTGGATCAAAAAGCAGGATTTTCGGCCGTCATCATCACTAGTGGCATTTAACCGGCATTCGAGGTGAGAAGCACCCGCTTCCAATAACCGCCAGGAATCATTGAAATTGCCGAGCACTTACAGGACCGATACGCTGGTTTTTCATGCAGGGACAGTATTCTTTTTTTTTGGTCACAATGGCTTCTCTCAGTCCTTGAACTTCTTTAAAGGAGGATGTAAGGAGCTAATATTGGTCTTTACTAACGTGTGCTGCCTGCACTGGTTTATTCCATACTTCTTATTATAATAATGTATTCAGCCTCTCTTATATATTGTGACCAGCTGCGTCTGGTTTTTGCCAATGCCTGTGGTCACCAAAACTGCAAAGATTTGCTGGTCACACCCATTTGTGTTGTGAGCTTGGAAATATTTCTTGGTTTCTTTAATGTGCACTACTTTTAATTTTTCATTGAGTTTGAGTCCATGATTCTGACGAAGCAAGCCTTTCTTGACCTGTTTGATCTTTTTGTTTGCTAAATATGTTTTTGCACACTGCATTTTGGTTCCTCGATCTCTTTCTATATTATTCTCTTCTTCCTTCTTCTCTCCTCTATCTAATCTCAAACCTTGACAATGCCAGCCAATCTGCCTTTAATTGTTAAATAATAAGAGCCAATGGATCCTTATGTTGGATTTATGTTGACTTTGTGACCAACCTGTTCTTGTAGCAAAACTTTCTTTTCCATTCAGAGTACTTCTGAGCTGTAAGCAACAGCCCACAGCCAAGTCAAACATAAACCTCACTGTAAGAAAATAAAGCTCATCTCTTTCTAAGCATGCTATTGCTATTACTGCCAAAAACAGTCTTGAAGTCGGATTTTGAGCAGTGATGGCCACGTAATGTGTTGTGAAGTTAAAAAAAGACAAACTGGATGTTACCTTGACTTTAAGGAATTCCTTGGACTTGGCAGAGGGCGGACAAAAAGAATGCAGAGGAAAGGTTAGCGACATACCATGGGAACTGCAGCATATGCTTTCATGATTGTAATGGTAGAAACTCATGTACTTGTGTTTTTAATAGTATGTGCAGGCGTTTTTGTTACTTCCCCCAACTCAAATTGTAACTGCTTTCTTCACTGATATAAAACAACTGTCAGTTCAGCATTTTATCTCTTTAGCAAACTAGTCCAAAGCACCGCCTCTTAAAAAGTAACCAAATACTTCTTCTCTTCAAGCACATCTGCCAGTACAGAGTAACCTGCTCAAAACATCCAGCAGTATATTTCCTGCTCTTTCTGCCCATAAGCATCAACATATTACAGCCATATGTGCAGTTTAAAGGAGAGAGCATGCCAAATGTTTGACATCAATTATCATAGAGCTGTAATCCCCCACTAAGCAACACCCTAAGCCTGGGAATCGCAAAAGGCTGTTTGGAAATTAAGAGGTGTTGCAAACAGAGAAGGGTGATGGAAGTGTAGAAAGGGTTGAGTGAAAGTATGAGCATGCACTACGTCCCTGGTGATATTAATGTGATAAATGCTTTCGTGGCTGATTTGATCTTATCTCCCTTGATGAGCTATGCGGAGCCAATCACGCTGCTCTCTGCAACCATGCATGTGTTCTTGTGAACTGGCAGGCTCTGTTGTGGAGAAAACAATACCATATGTCTCAGCGCCACTCTGGAGCGTTCCTCTGCCTGTCTCCAAATAAAAAAAACGATAGTGGCAACCCATGTTTTCCATTAGCAATTACTCTGAGGAGAGGGCTCGTGTGAGAGCAAAACTCGTACGAAGAGCCTTTGACTAATCAAAGAAATACAGGAGAGAAACGGCGAAGCTTGGCAAACAAACAATAGGCAACACAAGCCAACAGCAAACTTAACAGAGTTGTTCCATCAAGAGTCATAAAAGATTTGATCCAAGTCAAGCCTTTCAAGCAGAGATGCAACTCAGTCCTCTTTCCCTAACCCCGAAAAGAAATATATACATAAGGCCACAAAGTCAACACGGCACACTCTGCACATGTGTCTCACTCCGAATCCAAGTGTCCCTTGGTGAAATAAAATTTGGCCCGATTTCAGAGTTCATTTTTCATGTCATTTTAGACCCATGATGGCTCCTGCCTGCTGCTGATTGACAAGGAGTACCGTGAAGACCATGTTTTACAACAAAAGTCTAGATTCTGGCGTTTTATAAGTCTGAGGCCTCCAGTGGCCAACAGCTACAGTGTGCTCAACTTCTCTGAAGCTTTTCCAGGCAGACAATCTGTATCCAACGAGCCCAGAGCACTGGAACCAGGAAACAAGGACTGGCAGGCCTGATTCAAAGTCCAATTAGCCCAAGGAAACAGCCTCTCCAATGGAAAGTCAATGTGAGGGAGGTCTGGCTGTGGGTTTCAGTTCGTAAGTGTTAAGCCCAAAACCAGTTCCTCTTGACTCTGTAAGTCAAAACTCTCACCACAGCAACGTCTCCGTCAGAGAGGAACCCGACAGAAGGCGTTGGAAATGACAGGGTCATTATTGACAGTGAGACTTTAGAATTTGAGGTCATCGGAGTGAAGTACTTTGATGGCACAATGCAAGTTTTTAAAATAGTTGATTATTTGCTAATCCCCCATCCCAAACCATTGTCTAATCAGAATCAGAATAGTTTTTTTTATTGCCAAGTACATTTACACATACTGTACGAGGAATATGACTTTGTATTTGGGTGCAAAAAAAATAACAAAGGAAAAATTATATTATAGTTTAGCAACACTGCAAAGAAAAGATGAAAAAGGATTTCATTGCTCACTAAATTTGTTTGCATGTCCAGTTAAGTAGAGTGCATTACCAAGAGTACTAAATGAGAATTACTTTGAAGGCCAAGAATAACATCTTTCACTTACTACATGTGTTTTGAGTGTTGTGGGTTCATTGGAAAAAAACACTATTACAAGAACATCTACTGCATGGTATTTATCCACCTGGAATGTTTTTACAAATTGTGTTAACGTCAGCATTTCTGCCGCTTAAGCTTACTCTGCAGAAACCACAGTAAACACAAAATGCCTTTACATTTGCCAAAGCCATCAGCTTCTGTAAAGCATTTTCTGTTTATGAAGTTAACTAAAAAAAGGAAATTGCATGATTGTCTTGTTGAATTTATTTAGTTAAAGCTATGTACATTTAATAATGCCTGTTTTGCATGCACCACAGGCACCAGGTGGTCCAAATAATCATGAAACCATTATTGTGAAAAATGATATGTCACCTTTGTCCTTATGAAACAAGAACTAACAATCTATATACTGCTGCACAGAAAATAAACATACATGCTGTTTCTACATTGATCTCTGATTAGTAAGGATGCTGACTTTTGGACTGGAACTCATTTTTATTACAGCTTAGGTCTATTGGGCAGCTTCATAGTCAAAATTATCTCATGCATATTTAGTACCACTTTTGAATGTTTCTCCTTTCAGAAAAAGACAGTTTGAAATCCTGAAAAGATACTTGCCATATGAGGGTCTGGCTAGAAATGGGGAGACTGTTTTTCTCTACTTGTGTGTTAAATCAAGGTTCCATAACAGTAACTAAGGAAGAAAGGGCTTTGAAAATAGTCAGTTGCAACTCATTTTGAGGTCATCAGTTCATGTTAACAGTGAACAGAAGGCGGGTGATTGCTCATCCTGCACAATGTGGTATTTGAGTTGTGTGGCATGTTAAGGAGGTTTCATTCTGGAGGATCCGGGAAGAGTAGCAGTCTCTGGGACTCTTCTGGGTTACGGCCTTGTGCACTCAGGCTGGCAGATAAGATGCCAACAGCTTGCACTCCAAGAGGGCTCAGTGCTGTCACTCAAACACAAAATACTTCACACCTCAATCAGGAGGGGGCCAGCAGTCAGTTAAAGCCATTAGCTTTAGCCTTGTCTGACTGCAGGGGCCTCCTCCATCACTGTTAAGATTCCCTTTATCTCTCCTCACCCCATTTGAAAACTGTAATTATGTGCCAGAAAAGCATCATACTGAAGTGCTAACAGAGACATTTTGTCTGATGTGAAGGGTTTTTAAATCCACCATGGGTATCTACTGCAAATGAATCTGATTATTCCACACACTCATCCAAAACAGAGCTGTATCTTGTTGTTTAAAAATATATATTCAGAGCGGCCTTTTTTTTAGTTTGAGATAAAGAAGACATGAAACTCCTGTCTCTACAAACATCACACAGAAACAGTGCCGCATAGACTTCAGGCTGTCATGATGGCTGTCAGCTGTGCTCTGACTGTCCTCACTGACAAGGGCAGATATTTAATGTGATGCTGACCTGCTGTTCTACACTGAAACCAATCTCACTGGCTACCCACTGTCACCGCTTAGGAAAGCCCAAGCATCTCAGAGGCACATCAATCTGTATGAAATGCATCTGTTTCTTCCAAAACTGCTGCAGGAAAACAGAATGAATGGGAGTATTTGGCCTCAAGTCTTCTTGATTTGTATTCAAATGAATGCTGTGTTCCTACTCTTGCACAGTAAAAAACAAATAAGAACATATGTGTTGCCTTCCTGCTCACCTGACATGTTTAAAATCTTTGTAGAGATTTCTTAGAGCAACTGATTTTTTTTAATATTGTCTATGATCTCTCTTTAATGTCATCACAATGTCTTTGCTTTAATTCTGCATCCATTTCAGTGTACAGTTCCCCTCTCAAGTTTCATATCACTAAAAAAGTCATATTAACACTTCATAAATGTGGAAGGGGTTGCTAACAGACTATAAACACAAGGGGAATATGAGGCTGCCTGTAAGTGTGTATGTACAGATGTGCCTAATGCAAGGATTTTGCAATCAATCTTTGTTCTTCTCCGTGTCACATTGGCTTTCACGGGTGGAATATTTTTTCATGAAAAGTAAGCAACAAAAACACTTGACCACATCTGGAAACAATTTGTGTACCTGATACTGCATTCTTGCAGAATGCTGTGGTGTTAACATACAATTGAAAATGATTACTTCAGGGAAGCCAAAAAAACAGGAAAGCTTTCTCAGCATTTAAAGGCGTAGAAAAAAATTCCATTGCAATATCGTATAGTAAGCCACGGCTGAGGCCTCTGGACTCTGCTTTTCTCATGTGAGACATGGGCTTTAAACAAGGGCACTGTAAGAGTCCATTTTTACATTTTATTTATTAAGTTTCCCAGCGAGGCCCCATGGTACCTTCACTAAATATGGCTGGCTCTCCAGGGGACATGGCTCCTACTACACTGACATATCCCTCACCAAATCCTTGTCTATTCTTCCCCGACATGTACCCTGGTCTTAATGCAAACCCCTGCCATGTGATTTGGATTTTGTTTACCAACCTAAAAGGGAGCATCATCATTTTTAAAAGAAGAAGGAAAACAAGCTTATGACGCAAATTTGAGTACACCGTGTGCTGACCTTGGAGTCAGTCGGCTGAGTTTACGACTTTTCTCTACTTGTGCTGCTGTGAGAGTAAAGTGAAGCATGTCACAGAACATGAGTAACATCACTTTCTCAGCTTACATTTAATAAGCTTCCACATAAACTGTTAAGCCTTTTAAAAGATAGAAAAATTATCCTAATTGCATGCAGCCATACATGTAATAATTTATCACATTTCTATATGTTTGGCAAAATAACAAACCTTTTGAGAAGTTGGAAATATCTGACTTTCTGTTGGACTGCATGTGATTAAAGTCACAGATGACCTCCATTATCCTTACAGGATACACCAACTGGTGTAAATAATGTTTAACTCAAGATCCTCTTTAGAACTGAAGGCCAATAACTACTACTTATGACCGAACTGGCTTCTTAAAAAACTACCTCTCAGTTGAGTGTCTCCGTAATGTTTCAAATCTGCTGTTGCATCTCAGATTGAGTCTCATCTATTTCAAACAAACTAGAAACATTATTTAGTATTCAAGCAAAAATGAAAAAGTGAGAGTTCAACTCCTTCCTCTGGAAAACTTAAGTGGTTTACTGCTTGCTCCCAAACATTCCCCCCCTTGTTGGGATTTTTGTGGATACGCCCTGTCTGATTTGAACAGCTGCCAAGCTATCAACAAGACTTTTTTTAAATGAGGAAGGGAGGGAGGGAGGAAGCAAGGATATGGGCCTGTGGTTATAGTTTGGGAATAATGCTGACAGGGCACATTGCATCTCTATACATGAATTTATCTTACAGCATGATGTGAGGGGGGAGACTGGTTTGAGTATGCATCAACTCTCCCTCTTACGATCATACAGAAGACAATGCTGAATCTAATGAGGCTCTGGTAAAAACAGCACACATGTATCTGTATACAGAAATTAAAGCCTCCTGCATGAGTGGAGCGTGCAAAGGCCTCCTCTGCAAACTTCTATCATTTAATATATTTTACTCAGATAAGACGGCTACTGAAATAGGAATACAGCATAGCCTGCAAGGAAATGAATACACAGTTTTAGGAAGTAGGATTTAAAGGCTTTCAGTGACGCTGGACTCACATGAAAGGTATGTTTAAGGCCTGGGGCCAGGTTCTCCGTCTTGATCTTCCAGATCAGCGACTGGGGGGAGTTGAGCACGAAGGCGAGTGGCTTCTGGTGGCGCAGCAGAGACTGGAGGGGCTTCAGATGCAGCTCAACCTGGTGAGGCAAAAAAAGGGAATGGAGTTACAAAATGCACACTGGTTAAAAAACAAGAATACGGAGGAAAAGATAAGGGCAGAAACCAGGAAAAATAAAGCCACATGGTGTAAATGTCAAAGCTTTTATTTTCTAATGTTCACTGAAATACAGTTACAGATTCAGGTAAAGTTACTATCCTGGCCCGTGTAATTGCAGAGCTAAATTGTTGTAGATTGTTCTTCTTTATCAGGCTTTGTGGTTGTTTGTGTGCTCACTTTCATGATAATTTCACCGAGATGGCATGCTGTGTTCTCCCTAAAAGGCACTAGCTTCACTCCGATATGTCGCCTCAGTAGGATCTGAACTTTCACACAGTGGAGTCTTTGTTAACTGAGTGCACAAATAGTAATTGGAGGGTCTCTGTTACCATCTCTACAGCATGCATCCATGCCTTTGGTTCTCAGACTGCCATTATATTGGATTTTCACAGTCTGGTAGTGAGCTGGGGAAAACAAACATGATGTTTTGGGAGTTGTTGTTTTTGTTTTCTTGTTTCCACTGGAAGATCTGTTTGGACCAAATCTTGTCAGGTTTTCAACGGTCTGACTCTGAACATGCAATGAACTCACACGTCAAGTGTGTAATGATCAGGTTTTCTATCATCCTTTTTACATTAAGAATCGCTTTTAAACATTTTAATAACCAAAGCCTTCCCAAGAGTAGTTCAAATATCCAAATATTCCTTTTAGATTTGATATGAAGTAATAATCCGGACACTCTTCTTTAAACTTCCTCCCCTTGTATTCCCAGACTAATCATATTAGCCCCATCCTATGTGTCGGCACTAAAAGTCTGTAAATCATTAATTCAACTCACAAGGATTCACATTATGTGATAAAAGGACCCCAGCAGTAACTTAATCAGTCACGGCTTGCAACAATATTGGCCTTTCGCCCTTTCTCAACAAACACAGCCTTTGTGCCTCCATCGAAGCTAAAAATGGAACAAACGATTTGTGATTATGATGACGGAGATTATAAATATGAGTTGACAGTTTCATATTACGAGTGTTTGGATGAGTTAGAGAACAATTAGAAACTGCAGAGAATAATTGCTGCAGTAATTTGTTTTGATGTGGTTATGATGTGTACTTTATCAAGATGAGGATCCGCATCGTTAATGAACACCACTTTATGTTTTACAATGAGTTCCTAATGCCCTCATCTGCTCTTTGTTCCTGTTATGATCAAGACTCAACAAGAAACTGTACTTCATGAACAAAGTTGTCCATTTATGTAATAGTCTGTTTTGGGGTTTAGACTAGGGCTGCACGATTCATAGCATATTCATTGTTATCATGATGTGTGTATAAGCATTAAATGATTTTTGATTTATTTTGGATTCAGGAGAGACATGTTGCAAACACAAGTATTGTGTTAAACATGAAGAACAGCAGATAGAGAGAGTTACAGGCACTTCTAAATTTCAGTTTATTTATCGCACGTGTTATCATTATCGCATTTTTAACACATTACATATTTTTCTCATGCACCCCTAGTGTGAACCAGATTTAATTCTAAACAGAACTCAGAACAGTAGCAAACGGTGGTAACCTTAGAACTGCTCTATCACTGGTTATTTACAACATATTCATATAGCAATCCCAAAGATCAATGTTTTGCTCTCTTTGGCAGAACCTGCAGGGATATGTTTTTATTGCAGGCATGTTTTTGGATCCTACTCTTCCAGAACATCAAACAGGCTCCTGCTTACATTTGAGAAAATGTGTCTAAGTAACTCAAAAATCAGCTGAGCCAGGGGGTGTCACAACTTTCATCTGGATTTTACATTATACTGGTTCTTTTCACACAACACAATGTTTGCTGATATCAAAATGTCCGTCATGTTACAGTTTTGATTCCATTCAGGGTCCAACAGTCAGTAAGAGATGATACCCTAGGTAAATCAGCAAAAAAAAAAAATTGAAGTATAAAATGTTTTACCTAGAAAGAGTAGAAAGAGTTGTGAATCAGGGAGAGAGAGTGGGGAATGACATACATGCAGGAAAGAAGCCACAGGTTGGACTTGAACCGCCCACTTCGAGGACTACAGCCTCATGCAGCAATACATGCAGTGTGCAAACTAACCACTAGGCTACCAGCATCCCAAAGAATTTTAAAACTCAAATCTCCCTGACATTTAAAATCATGTTTTAAATAAGAAATATTTTCTTATCTTCCCATTAGAGTGCCACATTTCTCATGTTTGACAGCAGATTTATTTTGAAAATACCTCCACCTATCTTTCTGGGAAATCCTTTTTTTTTTTTTTTTTACATAAAACCAGCATAGTTAACATAAAAATAAACCTATTTCTTTTAGATCCATATATTCTGTTGTCAGGCAAGGTTTAAAAAAACTCACATACAATTTATAAGGGAAGATGCCAAAATGTTCAATGTTTACCTTTCACATACTTGGAAAACTCAAAAAAAGTTAGTTCATGTTTTTAAGGCACTGATGTGAACTCCATCTGCTAATGAACATGAGCATGGAATCCATACCCCTCTCTCTCTCACACCCACTGGCTTAGATGAAATGTATTACAGTCAGTACAGAGTGATGCTTATCTGCTGCGTTCAAAGCCTCGTCACTGTGATGCTGGTACGAAGCCATTTAACAAGGGACACGGACGGCAAAGACACGTGGGGAACACGAGCTTCAAAGCCTCATTATCAGTCCTGCTCAGATGCTCAGGCTGGAGGAGAGCAAAACAATTCAGTGTCAGCAGACGTGATCTATGAATGTGCTGCAAGACTCATTAGAAAGTCTCTGAGGGAAGAAAATGGAAGAATTACTGAACAGTTATTTATGTTGCACACTGGATAATAATCCAAACAAATAGATGAGAGACTCACTGCTCTCTCTCTTTTATGTGCATATTTGTTCCACTTAGTCCAGACTGTGGAAAAAGCATGTGCATCGCTCCTCTGAGAATAACAAAAACCAAGATATGATCATACCTGGCCTGGCTTTGAGGCCCTGGCTTTGAGAGATGGAAGAGGCAGGGAGACAGATGAAGAATGAGAGTGAGTGAGTGAGTGAGTGAGTGAAAGAGTGAAAGAGAGAGTTGTAAAAGACGAGGAAATTAAACGCAGACAGAGACATTTCCAGAAGATGTGAGTCACCTGAAAACCAAAAACATAAACAGAGCGCTGAGGAGAGAAAGTGCCAAAGGGAGCTGATGTTGAAGAAGGGAAAACTTTAGTAATTATCGGCTGTTATCCAAGGTCAGGCAAGTAAACAGTAAGCCGAGCTGTATCAGTAGTAACCGCAGAGCTGGGTTGCACAAGTTGAGTGATGATTAAGATTTAACAGCAGCTGGTGAGCATCCCTGCCCACAGAGTTACCGTAAGAAGGTTTAGTCCACATACCAGCCAGGGTGTGGAAAGAAGAAGTGCAGAAACAGAAGGCTACAAGGTGCCTTTTAAGGAGGATATGGTGGCCCTAAATTGTCCCTGGGGATTTTACCTTCACTGGAAAGAGCAGAGGTCTGCAGGGATCAGGAGGCCACACCTGATTGATTATCAGGAGGCTGGCACAGGGATTTGTTAGTCCAGGATCCATTAGAGTAACAGGGCACATTTGCAGCAAAAGATGGAGAGCTATTATGTTACTGAAACTACACTCCACACAGGGGACGACAGCTGTAGCAGGATAAGCCAAGCCCATCAGGGAGCATACCATTAGTGGTGGCAGCGTGTGTAAACAATGGAAACGTTGAAGAAAAAATACCAAAACAGCTTCAACTTACAGCTTTAAATCAGCTTCAACAACAACAAACACAGCGCCAACAGGAAGCCAAACGATGAATCATACACAATCCTGTATTTCATAACAAAGCTCCACGGTAAGATTTAGAACCTACTGATGACTGTGACACCGTAATTATGAGGGCTGATTTGTTTGCCCTGTCTTGAGCATGTGGTTGCAATTTCATGACCTTTCGAGCAAACTAAATCAAGGCTCAAGTGCGCTCCATAAACACAGAGTATCAACATTGTTACGCGATACTTTCATAACACTGACACCCTGCAGTCAGAGCTTAGTATCAGTGCGTGCAGTTTCCGTTATTGACAGAGCTAATTAGGTGCCTGGTGATCCCGGATGATTCAGAGAAAACCCAAAACATCCTTTAATTAGGAAAAAAAATCAGACTAATCGAGGAACACACTCGCCCTCCCAGGAAATAATAATCAACGACGGAATTATTGACATGAAGAAACCGACTGAACAATGACTGAATAACAATGAGTGACTTTAAATCACAACCAGAATGGGTTAAAACAAGTATTATCTGATTTGGGTATTTATATGTTTTCTGTCATGCATTCAAATGAAAGTTGTTCTAAATTACATATAATGCAGAAAACTATTATTTAGATTATTTAAAAATGGTCTCATCATATATATTGTCCAGCAAAGCTCGCTCTATTCTATAGTTTACTCTCAGCACTGCTGTCTGCAGCACATGTAGCATAGCAATATGCCTTCACAATATGGGGAAAATGTGATATCTGCAATAACATTGTTGGATGCAATAAAATTAAGTGTTGTCAAAAAAAAAAAAAATTAAATGTTTTATATCACAGTGTTTAGTTATATCTGCTGTGATTCATTTCCCCCTTAATGCTTCTGCAACATGTTCTCCTTATTCCAAAAATAAATTATAACCGCAGTTCTTTTTTTTACCCCTAATTGAGTTTATTGACTGATTAATCTGATTCCATCTAAATGCATCAAAATGTTGTGAAGGTAAAGTATTAGTGTTTTAGTCAGACCTTCAACTGTAAACATAATGAGTGAGAAAGCATTGATTCTTGGTAACAGCAATAGATTGACATTTTTGCGATATGTATAATGCTTTAATGTAATTGTGATTAATTGCATGGCCCTGGTGGAAAATGTGCAATCACTATAAATATCCTTTGACAAAGAAATACATTTAGGAATAAAGCC